CAGGACTTGATGGAGGTCCAGAGGGGAACCAACGTCTGTGCACGGTTCTGTTTCCTGTTGAGGAGGCCGTCTGACCTGACAATACGCGAATCGTCCTGTCATCCGGGGGAGACGCAGCACTGCTCGTTTCTGCCGTTCGTGTTCTTGCACGTGCGGCGCGCAGGGAGTCTGTGGGGGAAAGCGGTTCTGACCTGTCAGTGCCGAGCCGTCTTGTCGAGCAGATCGCTGCCTGCACTGCCGTGCGCGGGGTCCATCACAACCACGAGGGATCCTGCAATGGACGCAGAGCAAGGAGGCGAAGAGAGCGGGCAGGAACGACGTCGTGCGATGCAAAGTCAGGTTTGGTTGGTGGTAACAATTTGAGTCCCAAAGGATGGATGGCAGGATCAAGATTGTGAAACAAAGATTCATCAGACATCATTCACAGGCAAAAGGACAATCAGTAATGTGGTATCATAGTATATATTCTCCCCGGCCAACCCATGCATCAGTAAGCAATGGGCGCTGTTGGAGACCAAATCAAACGGATCCATCATCTGATGAATCGGGCTGCCGTAGCTAAGCCGAGTCCAATCCGCAACGCCCTGGTCAAACGTGACCTTGATCCCCCATCGCTTTGAAAGAGCGAGGCCAAACTGAAACCCAAATCAACGAACGAGTCAACGCTTCAATCTCAAGACTCGTGTGCAACTTTTCTGTCCCTCCCTTGCCCAATGTTGTCGGCTGTCATCCGCGGCTTCCGACCGTCAAGCCTGTGGACATCTTCCCAAGTCTCGCGGCGCAAATGGCACGAGACGAGAGCGTGAGTCCAAGGGTTGCTGAGGTGTTTGCCGGAGCAGATAACCGACCGCTTTTGGTTTCGGTGGTTGCAGTGTATGTGCGGACGGGTCATGCCCTTTCCAATATCCACCCCCCTCCTTTCCATCCGTACCTATACTCCGCCATGTACTGGAGTATCCTCCTGACCAAACCGCCCGTTTTGAAAAGTGGCCGCCGGAGCTAGAGACCAAAGTGGAGAGGTCCAATGACACGCAATGCGCTTTGGCTCAAAGGAGAAGTATATAAAAAAAACCAAGCCAAATTATGCATTAGTACGTAACGCCCCTGATATGCTCTGCTCTCGGCTCGGAGACCAAACAGCGAGTGCTGTTTGTTGTTGCGCGACCGTTGAAGGCAAGCGTTGCTGAGAAGGAACAGTGCAATGTCCCGTCACGTCGACGACGACCCAATTGAGCGAGGAGGCGTTCAGGACGGGACACTGTTGCTGCTCTTCTCTTGGTGTCAAGACACCGCCGCTGAAAGCGAGTTGAAAATGCCATGGACGCCGGTTTGCCGAAGGCAATGCCAAGTCCGGGTTAAGGGGCTTGGTGAGAAACATCGTGGGTTGGTAAAACAGTTGAGAAGCGCCAAGTGGCGGATGTTGTGCCGATCATGTCGACAGTGGCTCATCGTCGACAAACGCCATCACCCTCGAATTGCTGTACCGGCATGAGTCTCACTGAAGGAGAACGGAAACCGCTCCGGCAAGTGCTGGGCGTAGAGATGTGGCGACGTACCAGCGAACTGAGGTAGACCACCAGTCATGGGAGCCGGCGAGGCTGATGCAGGAGTGGCGACTTGGCCTGCTTGCCGCTGTGCTGTTGATGGGCTGGATGGTCGCTCGCTTGAGGGTATCAGGGAGATGAGCGGCGAGTTGGCGGCGAAGCACCGACCGGCACTGCCAAAGAAGTATGGCGAGTCGTCACGAATGTGTAGGGTATGGTGTTGTGCGGGGCCAGCATGGTGAGGCATCTTGGGACTTCCGTTTTGGCTGGAGTTGGTGCTGTTGGTGCCGCGGGTGTCGCAGGCATGA